ATGCGATGAGGAGACACAGCCTACCGGCCGAAGAACCATTCACTCTAAAATTTTTGATGAACGACCATCGCCCAACAATTTCTTAGGATGGCTACACTACAGAGAGGACCGTCTTGAGGGCCATGCTCAACGTCATGCCAGAGACGTCTGAGATTAGAAGAAAGTATGAACGCTCTCTGCTATCCCAAGAATCACGGGCAGCTACCCCAGAGCAGATAGAGCCGTCCCCCAATGCAAGCAAGGGAGCGCAGGAGTCGTCTTCATTTGATGATGAAGATGATGATGATGACACTCCTCACGCATCCCCCGGCCCTATAAACACAACTCCAGCACCCACTTTCCAAAAGGCAACCACCACTACTACCCTTGGCAATCAAGGCCAAAAGGGTATTGAACAAGGACGGCCCAATCCAATCCTCACCCAAGCCAGCCATCCAGAGGCCACTCTTTAGGCCTCTGTAGATGAATTTGCCGAGGAACCACACCATCCATCGCCTCTCTTACAACAGGGAGGTTATGAAGAAATAAGAGCCACATTGCCTCATGGCTCGACACAACCTTCCACACACCCAGAAGCATGTTATGCTTCTGGCATTGATATTCCCCAAGATCATTCAGAGCGATCTCCCATTCATGCACCACCCCCTTCGATACTTGGTCTAGCGAAGGGGACACACACCTACTTCTCTTACTCGGCCTCTAAAGCCGAAGAAGAAGAAGATGTAGCAACATCAGAAGATAGCTCCTCATTAGAGGGATCAAGGACTCGATGGAAGTCCTTCCTTGCCCATATTCTCACAAGGCAATGAAGGCGTCTCTAGAGCTAAGGCACAACCTGCAGCATCTATTGCTGCAGGGGTTACCCCCATCACTAATCTTGTCACAAAGGCAGAGTTCCAGGCCTTTGTTGACTCGACTCAGCGGTTCTTGGATGACCTAAAACTCATCTTACAAAGAATTGTTGACACCACCCCATCCATCGATTTAACCCCAATTCGACAATCCCTTGCCACCCTTGAAGCCTAAGCCAAAGATAAAACCACCCGCCTTCAAATGCTTCAACAAACAGTCCAACAACAACACCACGCCGTATCCACCATATCCACCCTTCGCAACCAAACCATCATGAATACCCTCGCCACCCTCATGGCCCAGGCAACTGCGACTGATGAGGCCATTGCTTCCATGACCACCCATCTAAACACCATCACCAATACACTCACTACCCTCCCAGCCACCATCCTCTCCCACACCCCTCAACCAACCCCACCCCCAACCACATCTATCGATGAAACCATTGCCTCCCTCTCCACCCAAATAGCCACCATACAAACTACCCTTACCTCACTCCCACCCACCATATTACCCCAAATACCTCAACCAACCCCTCCTCCACCCCCCTCTGCAACTCCATCCTTTGATGAAGCCTTTACCTCCTTCACTGCAGAGGTAAGGAATATGTTAGCCTCCTTCCCCATCCCACCATCCGCATCCACCTCAACATCCATCCCACCTCTCGTATCGACATCCACCTCCACCATAGAGTTTGCAACCAGAGTCGATCTAAGGGCTCTGTCAAAAGTACTTATCTCCTCGTTCAACGAGATAAGTACTAAGTTCGCGCATAGGGCCATAGAACCATCAAGGGCTCTATCAAAGAGCCTTGACATTCAATAGGCCCACACCAACTCCCTCCTCCTATCGATGGAGGAGAATCAACGAAGGAAGGCCCTGAGGAAGTACTTTGCTTCCTTCAGGACGACGCAGAAGAAGGCCAGAGCATCCTGCTCTACCAGCCGTCCACTAAAGAGGCCAAGGCATGAGGATCCAGACCAAGATAATCATGGTCTCGGTCCTCATGAGAGGGAGAACCCGGCTGCTACTGCCCAACAAATGGAGTCCGCTGCACCACCACTACCATAAAACCAACCACCATCATCAACCCAAGGAACCCAAGCTAGGGAACCATAGGCTCAGCCCTCTGAAGATGTACACAATGTACATGTTCCCTTAGACACCACCCAAGAACCCATTGAGCTAAGTTCTTCATCTGATGAAAACCCTTCTACCCCACAAACATAAACCAACATACCCTTCACTCCATCACCAACTCCCAACCTACCCTTCACTCCATCACCAACCCCTTGCACCACAAAACCTTCCATCACCTTATCCATACAACCAGAACCCATAATCACCCAATCTACCTCACCATAACCACCACCAACACAACCAGAGCCCAATGAACAATAGCTACTCCAAAATGAGCAAACCCAACAAGAAACCATTCCATCACCAACCCATACACAACCCTTAGCCCAAACACAACCCACAACCCAACCACCACAGGTGCAAGCAGACGTTCCCTCCTCATCGAGGCACCCTCCTCTGGGCGTGGTCGATGAAATTATTGCAAACATGGAGTCGCTAAGGAGACGTCCAGAGATGCCACCAAGGGAGCCAGTGATGATGGAGAATATCCATCAATACTTGTACCACGATCGCGATGAAGGTTCGGCTCTCAATCCTTCAATGCTATCACCAGAATCGATGAACCTCCTGCGCCATAGGTTTGTGAGACAGACGACCAATCCACCATAGGCCGTCTTCTCACATGAAGGAATCAGGACGGTCATGGACATCAAGATGAGGACCTTCGCTAACAGAGCCATCAAATATATCGAGTACACCATGGAGCGAGCCCATGGTCATGTCAGCATCTTCAATGACAATGACTTGATCGATCTCAATCCATTTGACTTGATTGATCATTATGCGCATACGGCTCAGCGACAGGATCAAGGAATAAAATTTGGGATGGCAAACAGAGCAATCGTTCAAGCGATGGAAACCTTGGTGAAGTACAGAGCCAAGTGTGATTTTCAAATTGCTCTTCAACTTGGCATCAACAGACTATCCTGTACTCCACCCAATGAAGAATTCCCAGGTCTGCAGGAGAAGAGATCTGCCTCTGTACTAACTCAATCAGAACTGGGACTCGTATTTAAGAATGAGTTTGGAGCAAAAAAATTCTTTAGACTGACTGAAGCCTTCAAGTACTCAACAACAACACTTGAATGGTTTCAAAAGGTCAACAGAGATAGATTACGCAGACCTCCGGTGCCGATAGGAGAGGGACAAAGACTTATTCATGAGATCTCAACAGTCATTCAATTCAGAAGACTATTGATGCGCTTCTAGGAGATTACACAAGGTAGATCATGAATGAAGTAGTTTGATTTGAATTGTAATATCTTTTTGTTCATCATTGTAAGAATTCATCATTTAATCCAATGAAAATTTGGCAAAGGATGTTTTTCTTTGGATTAGCCTCTGTTCATCACTTATGCTTTAAATGTTCCTAGATTAGTTCATGTTTGTTCTTTCATTACTTAGGAGGAGATTGTTAAACCCCATAATTTTTATGTGTAAAAGTAATGAAGAAAAACAAGTGATGAAGAACCAGAAGGCCGATGGAAGACTTCAAGGCAAAATGGCTAAGTCCTCAATACAACCAGAGGGTCGATGAATCAACCAGAGATGCGATGGAAAGAGCATCTTCATAGCCCCTCTAGTTATCAACACTTGGAGTTTTCTACAATAGTTCAACCAAAGGTATGCAATGAAGATATGAAGATATGGTTGAATAACACCCCATGGAAGACAGCTGGAGATGACTAATCGACAGCTGGATTTTACAAAGTTTATCTTGTTTTGTTTATTATCCATGTTTAGATAAGCTTTATCTTTACTAGAAGATTAGCTAGATATTCTCCTTAGATAGTTATCTTAAAATAGCTTTCTAGTATAAATAGGTG